AAAAAACTAAAACCAGAACAGTAAATAAAGAGCAACAATAAAAAAATTCCAGACAAGAAACAATCAGGGTCAGCTAATCCCAACAAAGGATTCCCCCGGGCAGGAAACAGCCAGCTTGTGAAGCTGCAAGGCCATTCAATGCTAATCGAGGTGGCCAATTGCAACATTCACGCAGACAGGAGTTCTTTCTCCCACCCTGGATTTTTTTCCGCAACCAGAACAGTAAATAAAGAGCAATAATAATAATAAAAATTCCAGACAAGAAACAATCGGGGCCAGCTAATCCCAACAAAGGATTCACCCAAGGCAGGAAGCAGCCAGCCTGTGAAGCTGCAAGGCCATACAATGCTAATCTAGGTGGCCAATTGCAACATTCACGCAGACAGGAGTTCTTTCTCCCACCCTGGATTTTTTTCCGCAGATATATATCCTCCCTTGCCTAGTTTCCAACAACTTCACAACCTCTGAGGATGCCTGTCATAGATGTGGACGAAACGTCAGGAGACAATGCTTCTGGAACATAGCCATACAGCTCTGAAAACTCACAGCAACCCAGCACTTCCTTTCCCAACAGCGCTCCAGAATTCTTATCCAAGCAAGACCACCAACAATGGAAGACTAACTTGAACCTAGCTGGATATAAATACCTAGTTACATCTCACATACGTTAAGTAAGAAAATAAATGGGCGCTCTCATTTAAAACAAGGAAACTGAGGCTGAGCAACAGCACCTTGCCCGTGGCCATTATTCATAATTCGGTGCTTTGCTTCTTGGTCTGCCAGGTTCAAGACAATTGTGCCATCTGCGAAGGCACACAGCAGTGTATTACAATGATCAGCAGAAAGTGCCATCATCACGTGGCGGGAGGCAGAAGACGCATGGCATGAGCCCAAGTACGTCTGTAGTAGAGTCTCTGCTATTTCTGAGAGGAGGTGCCAAGTGCGCCGAATGTCAATGTTTCAGGGAATGATTATTACAACTCTGCAAAGCTGGCCACCCAGATTCAAGACCTTCCCATTCAACACCTTTGTGCCGGCAGGACTGCTGACCTGTTTGAATCCAGGGAGAACAGGTTGAGCTCCCTCTGTCAGCTCTAGCTCCCCATGCAGGGACATGAGAGAAGCCTCCCACAAGGGTGGGTAAAAATCAAACACCTGGGCGTCCCTTCGGCAACATCCTTGCATATGGCCAATTATCTCACACCAGAAGCAACTTGCAGTTTCTCAAGTCACTCCTGACATGAAAAAAATACCTGTTTAAAACCACCCTGAGTCTTTCGTCCTGGTTATGCTATAATCTGATGGCGCACTGGGATCTTACTATTTTAATACCCAGCATCTCCATGGAGAGGTGGTACGTCCATCAAAAATAATTCACTACTGCTTATTAAAGCAAGCAATGCATGAGTTGTTACGACAACTGAAAGCAATTACATTAATATTATCTAGTGTAAAGGGAATAATTTCCCTTTAGTAAACAGCTTGGACTGGCTGCATAAATCTGTAGAGTGCATATTCACTGCTGTTAAGAAACACAGTTTCCTTTGAAAGCAAAAGCCCAAAAGACTTACGTTGCTACACGCAGCACTTCTAAGCATGTCTACTCAAGGGTAAGAACCAGTGTCTGCTGCAAAGGGATTCAACTAAGGGGATAAACACCAGGATTGCCAAATTACCAGCTGCACAGATAACCATTTCTGAAACTATTTCATTAAAATTGGTATATTTGCTATGATAACCTTAACATTCTGTTAGAGTTCTTTTGATATTTTGGACTACAAGTCCCACCAGGTTAAGGCAACTCATGGGAAAGGATTACAGGAGTAGTCGTTCAAAATCCATGGGTTCAAGTAGCCAAAGTGCTTTACATACATGACCTGACTTGAACAACAACTCTACAACGTAAGGCAGTATTATAATCTCTCATTTATATTTAAGACATGGGCGAGAGAGACTTTAAGTCTGAGAAGATCTCATAATGCATTCACAGCAAAGGCTAGATTCTACTCCTAATTCATACATCCATCTATACTACAGCATCTCTTACATGGAGGTTTACAAGGTTCCCTGTCCATAAGTAAAGGTAAAGGTTTCCCCTTGACATTAAGTCTAGTTGAGTCTGACTCTGGGGGCTGGTGCTCATCTCCATTTCTAGGTTGAAGAGCCAGCGTTGTACATAGACACCTCCAAGGTCATGTGGCCGGCATGACTGCATAGAGCACCAATACCTTCCCACCTATTGATCACACATTTGCATGTTTTCGAACTGCTAGGTTAGCAAGAGCTGGGGCTAACAGCAGGAGCTCACCCCACTCCCTGGAGTTGAACCACCAACCTTTTGGTCAGCAAGTTCAGCAGCTCAGTGGTTTAGCCCACTGCACCACCACAACCCCTTCATGCTAAAAAAAGATGTTTAAATCTTAAAATGCTGCTAGATGTGGGTTTATTGTATGTTGGCAGAAGCTGGGGCTAACAGTGGGAGCTCACCCTTCTTCTCAGAGTCAAACTGCCAACATTTTGGTCAGCAAATTCAGCAGCTCAGCAGTTTAACCCGCTGCACAAAAATTCAAAAACCGAATCCAATAGTGGCTGAACCTTTCCACTTCAACCTCTTGGTAACTGACAATGTTAAAATATGACAAAAAAGTAAAAATATCCATGGAGCTAAACAATAAGAACAGATTTATTTTGGGGAGGGGGGGAGGCAGAAGGACAAGAGGTGAGGAAGATTACTTTACAACCTGAAATTGGGACTTCACAACAAATCAAATGGAAACTCTCAAACCATGCAAAGATGGAGCCTTTGCATTTCTGACATGAAGATATAATCAATAAACAATCTGTATTCGGGACCCTTAAATCTTCAGAGGAAATATGAATTGGCCTTGGAAGAATTTCATTTCTCTCCCCTGGAAACCTCATCCAGTTTTCACCCAATCCCTCCCTCCTTTCTTTCTCTGTCTCTTGTCTTTCTTTCTCTCTTTCTGGGCTCCACAATGCCAGCCTATTTATCTAGCTGAGGGTGAGCCTGCTGCCAGCCAAAAGTTGATGCAGACAACCGCAACAGAGCTTGGTGCCAGCCTCGAATGGTCTTCTGCCCTGGCAGCCTGCCACTCCATTACAAGCAACAAGCATGCAGAGAGAGAGACACACAGGGCTATAAACATCTGTGAGCCTCTTCATATTTTTTAAATGCTCTATTGTGCCTTAATTGCAGACAATTTCTCCCCAAAAACTCAAATAACAAGTGGGTCTGTTTCAGGAAATTGCTCTGTCTTGAAATTTAAGTCATTCTATTATCCATCAATCCAGTCCCATTTTTCTACTCCTTTTCCTAATGCAGTGTTTCTCAACCTTCCTAACGCCATGATCCCTTAATACAGTTCCAAAGGTGTGATGACCCCCAACCATTACATTATTTTCATTGCTACTTCATAACTCTAATTTTGCTACTGTTACGAATCATCACGTAAATATCCAATATGAAGGATGCATTTTCATTCACTGAACCAAATTTGGCACAAATATCAGATATGCGCAGATTTTAATACTGGTGGGTTTGGGGGGTTGATTTTGTCATTTGGGACTTACAGTTTCTGGGATTTATAGTTCACCTACAATCATAAAACATTCTGAACTGCACCAACGATGGAACTGAACCAAACTTGGCACACAGAAACCCCATGGCCAACAGAAAATATTAGAAGGGGTTGGTAGGCATTAGCCTTGAGTTTTGGAGTTGTAGTTCACCTACATGCAGAGAGAACTGTGGACTTGAATAATAATCGATCTGGACCAAACTTGTCACAAATACTCAATATGCCCAAATTTGAACACTGGTGGAGTTTGGGGGAAATAGACCTTGAAATTTGGAAGTTGTAGTTGTTGGGATGTGTAGTTCAGCTACAATCAAGGAGCATTCTGAACCCCACCAATGAGAGAATTGGTCCAAAATTCCCTCACAGAACCCTTATGACCAACATAAAATACTGACCTCACAAACTCTGAGGATGCCTGTCATAGATGCAGGTGAAATGTCAGGAGAAAATGCATCTAGAACATGGCCATACAGCCCAAAAAACACACAACAACCCAATGATTCCGGCCATGAAAGCCTTCGACAATACAGAAAATACTTCTGGTCTTTGACAACCCCCCCCCCCCCCCCCCCCCCCCCCCCGACACCCCTTCACAACCCCCAGGTTGAGAAGCACTGTGCTAGGATGACATGAAGATATATGTTCTTCTTATTAACAGGCACATGCTTTATTTTCCTTTTTAAAGACAGACACAGAAAGACATAGGTTATAGTTCTATGTATACTAAAGTTTGAAATTCCATCTCATTGAGTTCAGTTCTCCATATTTAAAAAACCCTGCTAGAAACATTTATTGTTGTTCCAAGAGAACAGGCATGGGCGAACTTTGGGCCTCCAGGTGTTTTGGACTCCAACTCCCACAATTCCTAACAGCCTCCGGCCCTTTCCTTTCCCTCCACAGCTGCTTAGTCCTGAGACTGTTAGGAATTGTGGGAGTTGGAGTCCAAAACACCCAGAGGTCCAAAGTTTGCCCATGCCTGTTATAGAACCTCTGGTTTGGTCTTCAGCAATATTTCAATATTTACTTCTCTGCCTTTATCTGGCTGGAAAGTGAGCCTTGGCCAACTCTCTTCCGAGGAAGGAAGAGACTGTCTGAGAAAGCTCTGCTACAGGAGCTTGTAAAGTTTGATAGGCTTTTAAGAACAAAGGCTGGAATCCCACAGCCCACCCTTTAATTCAGGAGCAAAGTCCACTGAAATGAATAGGAACAGATCACTATTTGCAGCGGTGCAGCGGTGCTACGGAAACAAACCAACCAAAAATAATCTCTGACTGTGACAACGACATTATAAATAGCAATAACAACAATAATAATGCACATATTGATGGAAGGAAAGCTTTCCCGAGAAGTGCCCCATTCTCCATTAAGAGGAAAAAAATTCAGAAAGAGCAGCCTACTTACCAGTTGGTTTGAGAAAATCCATTGGGTATCTGGAGTAAGGAGGAGGGGGAGACTCTGGAATTAGAAAAAGAGAGATTAAATAAAAGCAGAGCCATGAGAAAGGAGAGAGGGGGGGGACGAAGAAAGGGGGGGAGAGAGGAAAAAAGATAGGAACTTATGATAAGAGTGGCATTCTTGTAGCCAAACTGTTTGTCTTAGCTGTGGAGGTTGGAGGCAGGGCAAGCCAGGCGGCGATTGCCTTGATATTTAACTGTCAGATAAACAAAAGGGGCCTGCTGGCGCCAGTCTCTGGTGCTATCTGCTCCTCTGGCTGTCTCGACCGGGGCCTCCTTGGCTGCAAAGCTCAGCTCTCCAGCTCTGGAAATCACCCACTGATCCCGGCTCCCTGATAATCCCAGGCCAGCTTCACTGCAGGCACATTTAAACAGGGCACAGGGAGCCAAGGGAGGAGGAGGAGGAGGAAGAAGAAGGGGGGCTGGGAGGACAGAGAAAGAAAGGGACACAAAGCTGTGCACAACACACCACCCAGGCTCACATTTGCATTCCCATCAGACCTCCTTCTCTTTCCTCCTCTTCTTTCCCTCTTCTCAAACCAGACTAGGCAAGATGTTTCAACTCACAGCAACTACTAGGCTGTATTTCGGACATGGGCAAACTTTGGCCTTCCCTCCAGGTGTTCTGGACTTCAACTCCCACAATTCCTAACAGCCGGTAGGCTGTTAGGAATTGTGGGAGTTGAAGTCCAAAACACCTGGAGGGAAGGCCAAAGTTTGCCCATGCCCTGTTCTAGTTTGTAAACCATGGCTGTGCTTTTTCTGGTGGAAATTCACTCCTATCCAACTTTTTTCAACTTGTCACTGTAGATCTAAAACAGACCAAAGTGTCAGCAGCAACTGCTTCTGGAACATGGCCACACAGCCCAGAAAACTCACAGCAACCCAGTTATTCTGGCCATGAAAGCCTTCGACAACACAGAGACCAAAACAGTTGTATAAGTGTCCACCCAACACACTAAAACAGGCTGTGGACTTCACAACAGTAACTGAAAATTAAAACTTGAGGATAGTTGTGACTGTAGATCTAAAACAGACCAAAGCGTCAGGAGCAAATGTTTCTGGAACGTGGCCATACAGCCTGGAAAACTCACAGCAACCCAGTCATTCTGGCCATGAAAGCCTTTGACAACACAGAGACCAAAGCAGTTGTGTATACCCACCCAAAACATTAATGCAGGCTGTGAACTTCACAACAATAACTGAAAATTAAAACTTGAGGTTAGTTGTGATTGTAGATCTAAAACAGGCCAAAGCATCAGGAGCAAATGCTTCTGGAACGTAGCCATACAGCCTGGAAAACTCACAGCAACCCAGTCATTCTGGTCATGAAAGCCTTCGACAACACACAGACCAGAGCAGTTGTGTATGTGCCCACTCAACACATTAATGCAGGCTGTGAACTTCACAACAATAATAGCTGAAGTTCGCCACTGAGGATTTCAGGCATGTTGTGCATATTTTCTCTCTCTTTCTCAATCTTTCCCTTTCTTTCTTTCTTCCTCTCCCCTCCCTCAAAGTTCGAAAAACCCCAAACCCAAGGCAAGCTGCCTGGAAGAGGGAAGGAAGCAAGCCTTCAAACTGGTGCCTGGAAATTATGTGTTTTCCCTTCTATATTATAGAGGGTTGAAAGAGGAGGAGGAGGAGGGGGGGGCATGGAGAGGACTTCAAAAGCAGCCAAGGGTTGGATTCCTTTTGCAAACCTCTGGCTGAGCTGCAGAGCTGGAGGGGAAAGCAACAGATCCCAGGATGGATTTCAACCAACCCACCCAGTCCCATATATATATATATATATTTGCAAAATGTTACCTCTAGGACAAAGGAGTTCTGATTGTTTGTAGACTATTTACTATAGAGTCCTGGCAGTTTTGAAAACAATGAGCCAGAGATTTAGGAATGTGGTTTTTTTTCCTTAATTGTTTACAAAAACTCATCCCAAAAGTTACTTGTTTCATGCTCTTCTCCTTCCTTGTGACACATAAACAAACAGATCAGAGCAAGTCTGCAAACTGCAAGGATCTCTGTAGGATACACTTCTTATACAAAGTTTCCCTCCAGCTTCTTTCAAGCCTGGAATTAAAACACTCCCAAGGAATTGTTTTCCTCTTGTTTACTTATTTACAAGACAACCAAGGAGATGCATACAGGAAGTCTAAAATACACAATATTTTTTCCTTGCTTTAGGTGCATGCAAAACATAACTTTTGAGTAACACTTTTGAAAAGTGGACACTTTTGAGGCCTGCAGATCCAAAGATGCTAATGAAAATGGTTGCCCTTTCCAACCTTAACTCACAATCCCACTCCTCCAAAAGGGCAGCAAGGAAGTTCATGGCAACCCTGTCTCCAAGGGGAACCACAAATCCAGATACACAAACCTAATGCCTGCCTTGTGAGGTCTGCAACTTCTCACAGCAATGACTAGGCTTTAGTTCAGGCCTGGGCAAACTGTGGCCTTCTCTCCAAGTGTTTTGGACTTCCAACTCCCACAATTCCTAACAACGGTCCCTAGGAATTTTAACAACTTTTCAAAAAGTTTGACAAGATGTTATCCATCATGAAATTTTATTTCCCTTTCATATACTGTGTACAGGATGCTATCTATGGGCATTATAAGTCACGAACAAAATAAAAAGGAATGAAACCCTTTGGTAATTTTTGGTCCAAGCTGTATTTGCAGTATTTACACAAACAGGATGCCCTGAGAATAGAAGGCACATGTCCTGAGAAGGGAAGAAATGGAGGGAGGTGGCCCCCAAGTGGACCCACAAATCCAGACCCACACAGCTGAGGGCAGCCTTGGCCAGAGCCTTGCAACTTCCCACCTGAATGCATTGGCAGTGCTTAAGCTACAGGCAGCATGTGTTTACATTACTAGGAAAAGAAGGGGATGGGGAAGGAATGGGGGAAGGAATAGAGAAAGAAAAGGAGATGTAAAGGAAAAAAATGGGGGGGGGGTTGAGAAAAATGAAGAAATGAGGGAAGAAATGGAGAAAGAAATGCGGGAAGAAAAGGGGAAGAAATGGAAAAAGAAATAAGTTGAAGAAATGGAGAAAAAAATAGAAAAAGAAACAAGGAAGAAATTGAGAAGGTGGAGAAAGAAATTGGGGAAGAAATTAAGAAAAAAACAGTGGAAGAAATGGAGTGGGAATGAAGCAGGAAAGAGTAAGGGAAGTAGTGGGGAAAGGGGCGCCCCCTCCTCTTCCCCATCCCCTTGCAATGGGGGAAGGATAAAGAAATGAAGGAAGATATGGGGGAGAAAGAAATGGAGAGAGAAATAGGGGAAGAAATGGAAAAAGAAACAGGGGAAGAAGCAGGGGAAGCAGTTGAGGAAGGGGCGCCCCCTACCCCAATTCTTCCTCCAATCCCCTTCCAATGGGGGAAAAAGTGGATAAAGAAATGAAGAAAAATATGGAGAGAGAAATAGAGGAAGAAATGGAGAAATAAGTAGGGGAAGAAGCAGGGGAAGAGTGGGGGAAGCAGTGGAGGAAGAGGCGCCCCCTTCCACAATTCCCCCTTCGATCCCCTTCCAATGGGGAAAGAAGTGGATAAAGAAATGAAGAAAGAAATGGAGAGGATAATAGAGGGAAAAATGGAGAAAGAAGTAGGGGAAGAGAAGAAGGGGAAGAGTGGGGGGAAGCAGTGGATAAAGAAATGAAGAAATGGAGAGGATGATAGAGGGGGAAATCGAGAAAGAAGCAGGGGAAGAGTGGGGGAAGCAGTGGAGGAAGGGACGCCTTGTTCCACAATTCCCCCTCCGATCCCCTTCCAATGGGGAAAGAAGTGGATAAAACAATGAAGGAAGAAATGGAGAGGATAATAGAGGGGGAAATGGAGAGAGAAGTAGGGGAAGAAGTAGAGGAAGAGTGGGGGAAGCAGTGGAGGAAGGGGCGCCCCCTACCCCCTTTCCCCTTCCAATGGAGGAAGAAATTGATAAAGAAATGAAGGAAGAAATTGAGAGGATAATAGTGGGAAAAATGGAGAAAGAAGTAGGGGAAGAAGTAGAGGAAGAGTGGGGGAAGCAGTGGAGGAAGGGGCGCCCCCTCCCCCCTTTCCCCCTCCAATACCCTTCCAATAGAGGAAGAAATTGATAAAGAAATGAAGGACGAAATGGAGAAAGAAATACTGGAAGAAACAGGGGAAGAAGTGGAGAAAGATGGAGGGGAAAAGTGTGGTAAGCGGTGGCGAAAGTGCCCCCCCCTGCCCAATCCCCCCTCCAATCCTGGCTACCTACCGAGTTCGCAGAGCCTGCTGAGGTGGAAGGGGTTGCAGCAGAGGGGCTCGGGCCCGGGCGCCTTCCCGTAGGACTCGCAGGCGGGGAGGCGCTTGAGCTCGGCGCCGGGCCGCAGGTCTGGCCATCGGAAGACCTTTCCGAGGAGGAGCGGGAGGGAGTACCAGTGGGGCCCCAGCTTGGCGTCGCCCTTGCCGGGCAGGAGGAGGCAGGCGGTGCGGGTGGCGCCGCGGGACTCCACGGCCTGGAGCAGCGCCTCCAGCTGCTTCTCCTTCAGCCGCTTGAGCACGGCGTGGGTCAGCGCCTTCAGCTCCGCCTCCGAGCCGCCCGCGTGGGGGCCCTTGGGGGCCTTGCCGCCGCCTTTGCCCAGGCAGCAAACCCGGCTCCCTCCTCCTCCGCCGCCGCCGCCATGCGCCCGGGGATCCAGCGCGCCCTCGCCCAGCTCCCCGCCGCCTTCCTCGTCGCCTCCTCCGCCGCTGGAGCTGCCGCCTCCGCCGCCTCCTCCTCCGTGGCCGGTTCCCCCAGCCCCCGCCGCTGCTGAGGCCGCCGCCGCCGCTGCTCCCGGGGCACGGCTCCGCCAGAGTCTCCGGACGAGCACCGAGCGTTTGGTCCTGAACATGCGGGACGAGAAGAAGGGCGCTCCCCGGCTAAGCAGCGGGCATGCCGTCCGCAACTCATGAAGGATCCGGGGCCCGAGTCCAGGCAGCCAGGGCCAGCAGCCTGAAATGATGATGGGGCCGCGGAGGGAGAGCCGAGAAACGGGGGGAAGGAGGGAGGGAAAAACTAGGGAGGGAGACCCAGGAAAGGCCCCTCTCCGCCGCCTCGGCCTCGGAAAGGAATCCGCCGCCTTTACATCCACGGAAGGAGAGAAAGAGAGAGCGAGGGAGTTCGTGGGGAGGCCTTCCTTTCGCCTTCCCTTCCCTCTTCAAAGAGCAACACAACACACCGAGTCAGAGCCAAGAGACACCATGCCCTCGCTCGCTTCTCCTCCAAAGAAACACAATCCGGATGGATGGAAGAAAAGGAAGAAAAGAAAGGTGTATTTCCAAGGGTGCTTCTCCTCCTCCTTCTCCTTCCTCTTCTTCTCCCAAGCCTGGAGCCAAGTCGTCTTCTGAAGTGAGTGAGGATGGAGGAGTTGCGTGGCTTAGTTCCCTCCTCCCCCTCCTCCTCCTCCCCCGCCCCTGAAGGAAAAGAAGGGGCTGCAAAAGAAACACAGGAAAGGAGGAGAAGAAAGTCTCCCTCTCCAGCAAGGCACACGCTGCTCCGGAGGATCCTCAGTGCACAATCCTTCCCAAGGAATCTCGAGATGTAGGCAATGTGGTCCTGGCTCAAAGGAGGGCGAGGCAAAATAGGTATATATTTGTAGCGAGTCTTTAAGACCAATCCACAGCCACAATCGCGAGGTCTCTTCTCATCCAGCCCAAAAAGAAATCCGTGCCTGGCTTTGGTGATCAAGGAGAGGAGGGGGGGGCTTTTCTACACTGGGGGGCTTCTCCTCCTCCTCCTCCAAAGCTGGAGCATCGCCCTTCCGTGCAAAGCCAGCAGCCCCCTTCTTCTTGGAAAGGCTTGCCTTCCTTCCTTCCTTTCCTCGGCACAGAAGACGAGAGCGAGGTTTCCTCGGTGCCAAGTTCTCCCCCACAATCTCCTCTTTTTTTGAGGGGGAAGGGGAGGGAGGAAAGGAAAAGGGGGAAAGGAAAGACGAAGAAGAGAGAGAGAGAGGAAACGCCGCGGTGCCCAAGAAGAAGTCGGCGAGGAGGGAAGGACCGAGGAATGACAGGCGGGGGCAGAGTGTCGCCAGCCAAGCCTCCTGTCTGTCTGTGTGTGTTGTGTATGTGTGTGTGCGTCTGCGTCTCTCTCTCTCTCTCTCTCTCCAATGCGGTTCCCTCCGCGCCTCCTTCTCCTTCCTCTGACGGCTGTCTGCGCCCTCCTTCCTTCCAGCCGGAGCAGCGCCTCTGTCGACACACACAGAGACGACGCACAGGCACACACACACACACACATACGCGCACAACAGGGAGGGAGGGGGGAGGAGAAGGGGGAGACCCAGAGCTCTCCTTCGGCCCGGGCTTCCTCTCTCTCTCCTTTCCCTCCCTCCTGCCCTTTTTCCGCTCCCTTCTACCTTCTCCTTCAAGCGCAAGGAGTGGAAGCCAACAGAAGGAGGCGCGCCGCTTCCCTCTCCAGCCCTTTCCTCCCTTCCTTTTTTCGAGCCGACCTCGCTTGGGAGGCTTATGCGGGCACGGATAGAAAGAAGAGCCTTTTCAGAATCGAGTGGTCGCCATACAATGTTGGATTTAGGTTCTTACAAAGAGGGGGAGAGGCGGGAAAGGAGTGCCCCCCCTCCCGGCTTGTGCGCCAGTCCTTTTTACGCACGGATTGTGCGCGCTCGATATGCTCTGCGTTGGCTCTGTTTTTTTCGTGCCAAGGCGACAGGGAAAGGGAGGGCGAATGTGGGCTGGGGTCCCTTCTGTCCCCTCCTCACAACCCAGGCCCCTCTTCTCCCTCCTCTCTTCCTCTTCCTCCTCTCTTTCCCCTCCTCCTTCTCCCGCCTGGCTTTGGGTAGCTTTCCGACTGCGCAGTGGGCCACTCTCTTCCTCCTCCTCCTCCTCCTCCTCCTCCTCGCCGCCTCTCCCCGTCCTCCTCCTCCTCCTCCTCGCCGCCTCTCCCCGTCCTCTCTTATCACGTGGGCGTCTAGACACCCTGTCGCTTTTTGATTTAAAAAAAAAAAGCAAAGAAGGGAAGGAGGGGGAAAAAAACACCCAGCGATTGTATTGCGCAAAGGCGGCATCGGGTGGCTGGAAGCTATTTTTTTTTTCTCTCCTCCTTTTATAATTCCTGAAGTCCAAGGGAAGGGAAGGGAAGGGAAGGGAAGGGAAGGTAAGAAAGAGGGAGGGAAGGGAAAGGAAGGAAGGAAGGAAGGAAGGAAGGAAGGAAGGAAGGAAGGAAGGAAGGAAGCTCGCAGGGTTGAAAGGGAAATCTCGAGGGAAAGAACATCAACAATCATAGAAGCAAGGTTCAGGACATCCGAGGAAGTGGGTTGGTGATGCTCTTCAAAACTCACCAGGCTGCAGTCGAAATCAGACTCGGGACTCTCAACCTTTCTCATGCAGTGACCCCTTAATGCAGTTCCTCATGTTGTGCTGAACCCCAACCAGAAAATTATTCTCATTGCTACTTCATAACTGCAATTTTGCTACTGTTCTGAATTGTAATGTAAACATCTGATATGCAGGATGTATTTTCATTCACTGGACCAAATTTGGCACAAACACCTCATACACCCAAATTTGAATACTGGTTGGGTTGGGAGGGATTGATTATGTCATTTGGGAGTTGTAGTTGCTGGGATTTATAGTTCACCTACAATCCAAGAGCATTCTGAACTTCACCAATGATGGAATTGAACCACACTTGGCACACAAAATTCCCATGACCAACAGAAAATACCAGAAGGGGTTGGTGGGCATTGACCTTGAGTTTTGGAGTTGTAGTTCACCAACATCCAGAGAGCACTGTGGACACAAACAGTGATGGATCTCAACCAAACTTGGCACGAATACTCATTATGCCCAAATGTGAACACTGGTGGATTTTGGGGGAAATAAACTTGACATTTGGGAGTTGTAGCTGCTGGGATTTATAGATCACCTACCATCAAAGAGCATTCTGAACTTCACCAACGATGGAATTGAACCACACTTGCCACATAAAACTCCCATGACCAACAGAAAATACCAGAAGTGGTTGGTGGGCATTGACCTTGAGTTTTGGAGTTGTAGTTCACCAACATCGAGAGAGCACCGTGGACTCAAACAATGATGGATTTCGACCAAACTTGGCACGAATACTCAATATGCCTAAATGTGAACACTCATGGATATGGGGGGAAATAAACTTGACTTTTGGGAGTTGTAGTTGCTGGAATTTATAGTTCACCTACAATCAAAGGGCATTCTGAACTTCACCAACGATGGAATTGAACCACACTTGGCACACAAAGCTCCCATGACCAACAGAAAATACCAGAAGGGGTTGGTGGGCATTGACCTTGAGTTTTGGAGTTGTAGTTCACCAACATCAAGAGAGCACTGTGGACTCAAACAATGATGGATCTCAACCAAACTTGACATGAATACTTATTATGCCCAAATGTGGTGGATTTTGGGGAGTTGTAGCTGCTGGGATATATAGTTCACCTACAATCAAAGAGCATTCTGAACCCCACCAATGATAGAATTGGGCCAAACTTCCCATACAGAACCCCCACCACCAACAGAAAGATTGTGTCTTTGGCAACCCCTTTGACACTCCCTCATGACCCCCCCCCCCCAGGAGTCCCGACACACAGGTTGAGAAACACTGTGCTAAGAGCATTTTTTCTGAACACCCTCCTCTTTAGGTTGTTGTAGGTTTTTTGGGCTGTATGGCCATGTTGTAGAAGCATTCTCTCCTGACGTTTTGCCTGAATCTGTGGCAGGCATCCTTTCCAATAGATCTCACAACCTCTGAGGATGCCTGCCACAGATGCAGGTGAAACATCAGGAGAGAATGCTTCTAGAACATGGCCATATAGCCCAAAAAACCTACAGTAACCCAGTGATTCCAGCCATGAAAGCCTTCGACAATACACCCTCTTTTCCTTCAAAATAATAATAAGTGCTACAAATACTCATGCTGAAATATAAAATAGTCAATACTAAAGGCACAGTTAGATTATAAGTGTTTCTTTTTTTTATTCCAATGTGAGTGAGGGAAATTGTGGCACTTCCCAGGTTGGCATTTTTTTAAAAAAATGATGTAAAACTTTGGGATAGTAAAGATAAACCTGGACACAGCATATTATTTGGGAAAAGAGAAATGCTGGCCCATTCTGACAACCACCATATCAGACTACACGGAAACCATTGAAATGCACAAGTATAAAACCACTGATAGTAGCAAACCCTATTAAACCCTAGTAAATGAAGGAATTCCATTCCCAAGTACCCTGGACTCACACTCCAGAACCTAGAAAATGCCTAAGGTAAAGGTAAGTTTTCCCCTGACATAAGTCCAGTTGTGTCTGACTCTGGGGGTTGGTGCTCATCTCCATTTTCTAAGCCAAAGAGCCAGTGTTTTCCATAGACACCTCCAAGGTCATGACTGCATGGAGCGCCATTACCTTCCTGCCGGAGTTGTACCTCTTGACCTACAGTGGGAACTCATGCCACTCCCCGGATTGAAACCTGTGACCATTATTCCATGCCCAAACAACAACAACAATTAGAAACAATTTAAACAACATTAAAACAACATATGAAAACATTAGACAACTATTGTGCAGAGATCCAACACCAGATAATCAGATAATCATATTCATCAATCCAAAGCCAATTTCAACTGTATTACACAGATAATTATGCTGGGCCTCCCTCCAGCATAATGCTTCCTCCCAAAGCCAGGTTTTCACATGTTTGCAAAATGACAGGTGATAAGGGACCAATCTAATCCCCTAGGTAAGGAGTTTCGCAGTCGAGGAGCCACCACTGAGAAGGCCCTGTCTCTCATCCCTACCAGTTGCGCTTGTGAAGGTTAGTTATAGAACTATATAGACCAAGCTTTCAGGACAGTGCAATACAGCAGTGATAGGAAACCTTACCAGACCAATTAGATTAGATGCAGATGATCAAGACGGTTTTTAACAGTGTGTTTTAATGTTGAGACAAACGTTTTTTAATATGTATGTATGCATATAATTATGGAGCCCCTGGTGGCGCTGTAGGTTAAACCACTGAGCTGCTAAAGTTTTTGACCAAAAGGTTGCATGTTTGAATCTGGGGAGTGACGTGAGCTTCCGCTGTCAGCCCCAGCTTCTGCCAACCTAGCAGTTCAAGAACATGCAAATGTGAGTAGATCAATAGGTACTGCCCCAGCGGGAAGGTAACAGCGCTCCATGCCATCATGCCAACCACATGACTTTTCTAGTGTGCCTTCCCTGAATAAGGGAAACAATCCCCTGCAAAATACCCTGAGAAGCACTTTACCTGTTGGGTTGCTCTCTACTTTATCTACCCTCCTACTAGATACATCCTCTGTTCATGTCCAACACTTATTTTTAAAGTTTTAACTATTACATCTGACCCAGCCATAGGTTTTTGAATTTCTGTTGTTATTAGCTACCTGTGAGTTATATTAATTGTATTGTTTACTTTGTTTACTGCTTGTTGTTTATAATTTCTTGTTGTTTTTGATGTGTTGTTGGGCTTGGCCTCATGTAAGCCGCTCCAAGTCCCTTGGGGAGATGATGGCGGCATATAAATAAATAATAATAATAATTATTATTATGACCTTGGAGGTGTCTACAGACAACGCCGGCTCTTTGGCTTAGAAATGGAGATGAGCACCAACCCCTAGAGTTGGACACGACTGGACTTAATGTCAGGGGAAAACCTTTACCTTTACTACTTACGCATATAATGAATTCATGCCCTGGCACTGAATGTTTGCTGTTTGTATGTTGTGCTCTGCCATGAGTCCCCTTCGGGGTGAGAAGGGCGGAATACAAATGTTTTAAATAAATAAATAATAAATAAACGACCAGTTCGATAGTGTACATAGATGCAGCTCTATATTATAACAGCCCCAGAAAAGGGGCTTGAAATTTACAATCTGTCCTATATATGTGGAATGGGTGTGGGGATAGAATCATAGAGTTGGGAGAGACCACAAAGGATATCCAGTCCAACCCCCTACCATGCAATCAAAACACTCCTGTCAGATGGCCATCCAACCTTTCCTTTAAAAGTCTCCAGAGATGGAGCTTCCACCACACTCTGGGGCTGCATATTTCACTGCTGAACAAATCTTACCATCAGGAAGTTCTTTCTAATGCTCAGGTGGAGTCTTTTTTCCTGCATATTGAAGGATATTTTCCTTCAATTCAGACAACAAACAAAATTTGGGACAGCCCTGTCTTCAAGTCCCTGTTTCGCTCCTCTGAGACAGCAGATATTTACTTTAAATCTGTCTGAGATCTACCAAGACAAATAAGGAACTCGTCTGGACAGATCTGGCAAGCCAATAAATTCTTCCAGGAGATATGGGTTAGTTGATTCCCTGTTTAAAGCTGTCTGGGCCCAACTCTCTGGAAAAAGGTGTGTGTCTGTGTGTGTATTTT